TGTATTTCCAGTTTACAAAACAGGCTGTAATTGAAACATACACATTATTCCTCAACAACTTTAAGACAGCAAAAGAAGCAATCAAGACCACATGCCAAGCAAAACCTGCATTTGCCAGATTTCTGGAGGTAAACATGAAAACAGCATTAGTAATAATAACATGTTTTAATTTATCTGAGACATACAACACAGTGCATTTCATAATATGCTCCTATGAGGAACTGAAGTATGCATTTGATTAAATCCATAAGTACCACATGAGAAGTGTAAATATTGTAATATTGTAAAGAAAGATTCAGGTGTTTGATTGGATTCTAGTAAGGAGGTTAGTGTAGAAGTGTGAGTAATTGGAGATTCATCTAAATATATGTTCCTTACTTGCATCAGAATGACTGCCGCTGTGGTCTAGTGGTCAGCATTCCTGGTTACAGATCCAGAGCTCCGGATTCGATTCCTGGTGCTACCAGATTTTTTCTGAGGAGTAGTGGGTCTGGAACGGGGTCCACTCAGCCTCGTGTTGATAATTGAGGAGCTGTTTCAAGAAAGTAGCTGCTCTGGTCTATAAAACCGAAATTAAGAGCCGTGGGGATTCGTTGCGCTGACTACGCGACACCTCAATCCTCAAAAGTTGGCACTAAACTTTGCCGACAAGCGGCGGTTGCTCGGTTCGTATAGATCACCTGTGGACTAAAATCACGATTTTTTATTGTTTTTTTTCTTGCATCAGAATGCAGGGCAAAACCATGATCATCTTTATCAGCAGCAAAACAGCCCTTTTGTGGCCATGATAGATACCAGCAACAAATTCTTGAAAAAATGTGCCATTCTTAAAATATTTTTGAATGACAGTAAGAAAGTAAAGCTATCTTTGTAACAGGACGTGGGCCTCCACATCCCATGGGGTTGTTTGATATCAAGGGTCCCACATTTTCGTAGACATTTGGCTGATAGATGGCTTTGAGTTTATCAGCCTTATGTGCTGGCTGCCCTTAATCCCCAGGAAGATTCCTGGATAAACGTCTATGTATGCACAGTTCGCGAACAATGCAACAATTGTTTATTCAGCATTTAACACTGAACACAACATGTTTCGGCCATAGATGGCCATCGTCAGGTGTCTTTAATGCATCCAAACTGTTACGCTGCTCTGATGTGCACTAAAACGGAGTGTTGCCGTCCAATTAAAAGTAACATAAATAATTAATTAAAATCCATTCAAATTTTGTATAATTTTTTTTTTGTAAAATCCTATTCCACCTCATAAGGGGCATCATCCACTTGTTTGGAGCTATGTAATTATTCCAGAAGGTTCGTTTCTGCAGCTTGTTTTTCTGTTTGTTAGCCCGTTGTTTTGCTGTGTCTGCAGTCTGTAATATGCCACTATTTTTATTTTTTTTTGCTAGTGGGGTGGGACTAAGTCCCTTGTACTGCGGCCACTTCTGGCCTATTGTACCAACCCCAGATGATAGGTGAGGGTGATTGTGGAGCAATTAGTGGAATGAAGATTGGCAGGGGAAACTGAAGTACATGGAGAAAACCTGTCTCAGCGCCACTTTGTCCACCACTAATCCCACTTGACCAGACCCGGGCTCGAACCGGGACCGCCACGGTGGGAAGCCAGCGACTCACCGCTTGAGCTATGGCATGGCCTAATATGCCCCTTGCTTGTGTGTTGTTCCCTCTAGCAGTGTGTGATATTGGCTTCACTAGTGTGAAAATTTTATTTTTTGAGACACATGATGTACTATAATGTCACGCGACAAATAACTTGACGTGGGTCTCGGATTTAGCGAATCTTTATTGGACACTCACACTTACACACCTTACAGTTATTACCACTTGCAGTATCACTTGACTTCTGGCCCAATACTTCAATGCGACGTCTCAACTATCCTTGGCCGTGGTTGGATCTTGACTGTCTTCAGCGGCGGCTATCCAAAGACTGTCTCTTCTCAATACTCCAATACTCTAATACTCTAATCTTCTGTCCGAGGGGCCAGGCCCTTTATATAGGGCGCACGCAGACTCAATAGAGGACACCCCTTGCTAAGGTTCGATCTCACGTGTTCGGCAATCTGTTGCTTTGGGTATGCTCTTTATAGATTACACCGGTTATGTGTCTCGTCTCATCCGTTGTTACTCGACAGTTCGTTGCTACGATTTCGACAGTCATGTTGTCATGTAATGGGCGCAACAAACTCTCTGTAGTTTATCTCCGGGGAGACACGTTCGTTGCTTCGGCATTCTCTACGCAATGACTCACTGTTATTGCGCTACCATGGAAGTACCTACTCCAAACACATTACAATAATGTCAGGTAGATATTTCTAAATTATTCCTGCTGAGTACATAATCCAAATTTGGAAACAAAGAGATAACTGTGTGTGGTATACACATATATTATTGAAGAACTGTAAGAGAGGTTATACATGTGTTAATGTCACGTTATTGTGTGTTTCAGGCAATGGCAAGAGAGCACAAAGGGAAACTTGCACTGGACTGTCTGCTCATCATGCCAGTCCAGAGGATACCACGCTATGAACTCCTTATTCAGGTTTGAGTTATCTGCTGAATTGAATATTTTATTGCAAAAACTACATCATTCTTCTCGTTACTGCAGCCTGTGACATGCTGGCTACTGTGTGTTTGTCATGCAGGATGAAACGTTCAATATTCCCATTCATATAAACCACTACAGAGATAGTGCAAGACATTATCAAGTAGGCATTTTAAATATGATCATGAGCCTGTTGTACATAACACAATTTTTGGCATTTTGTTGACAAGACAATGTAAAAACTATATACCTCCATTTGTGGCTGACTGTGATTGAAATATTTTAAGGATTTACAATTAAACTGAATTCAGATGACTCAGATATTTTAAGGCATTTTGTGTAAATTGTGTAATTTTTCCTTTAGTATCGGTTGCACCTGAATATGTCCAGTTACAGCTGAAACGTGTTTGGATGTAAGATTATTTAATCCGTAAAAACTTGATACTCTTGATGGTAATTATATAATTATATATGTACTTATTTTAATTATAAATGTAAATATTGGACATTTATAATCCTTTCTTTCCTTATGGAACTTGACCTTCACAGGGAAATATAACAACCAATCACAGTAAGAGGTTGGAAGTAGACTTTAGCTTATGCCCTCAGATATTACTTGGCAGTGTAAGAAATGTTTCTGTTCTAAGCAGTTCAGTGCAGTGCGTTACTGTCACATTTTATCATGTGTCCAAGGAAATTGAGTGGTTTATAAAGTACTAAACAGGTTTATTCCTGTAATTTTAAGTACATTTTTCATCTAAGGGGTTTAGCTTTAATTCTTGCCCAAGATTTGTTATATATTTACATTTTAATTTAATTCAAAGACACAATAAGGCTCCTTATTCGATGAATAAAATGATTGATTACAACTGAACAGCTTAGACTGGTGCTTTGTATGCTTGAAGATGACCCGTGAAAGATGAAAACATGTTGCGTCTCTAATAAACATAATAAAAGCAAATGTTGATGCAGTAGTGTCTTCTTTGTTTTGAATACTGATTGTTGTTGTGTAGATGGTATATTCTATGCTTTATATATCTTATTTGTGACGCACAACAGGATGTACAGTATTAAGATACTAAACAGGTGGTTCATAAACAAGGTAGGAGAATTATATACTCGTACAGTGTACGACGCTGACATAGAGGACAAAGATAAGGATGAAAACAAAGATGAAGAGCTAGCTCAGCCTGTGCCAGATTTCTCAGGTCACTTGATAACACTTGTCAGCTTCGATCTATAATGTGTGACCAACTGTGACCAGCCAATATGCTGACAGTTACAGCTGGTCCACTTCTTACATAGCAATATGTGAATTGGTTTTCACCCAAGTTTTGTGAGAAAAGTGACAGAATATAGTATTGTCTAATAGTTGATGCTGTGCCTGTATAAATGTAGTGTTGGGTGCTGAACTGGAACTGACCTTCAGTGAGATGACTCGGTACCAACATTTATGTATACTGTTACAGACACTGCTGAAACATACTGATCCCGCACATCCTGATCACCAGTTGCTTCAGGAAGCACAAAAGGAAGTGCATGATCTTGCAATGAAGATCAACTGCACTGAACGGGAAACCCTGAAGGAGCTGGAAGCATTAATTGAAGGATTAATCAACCTGGTAGCAGCTGAACGCACCTTTATTAGACATGACCTTGTTACCATGGTGTCTGGTCAGGGCACGTGTAAGGAGCGGGCGCTTTTCTTGTTCTCTGACTTACTTGTCATCACAAGCATAAAGCGAAGGAGTGGGACTATCCGGAAACCTTCCACGTATGTATGTAGCCATCAGGAAATAAGTAACACTGGGTTAGTTTATAGGAGGCTTTTTGCAATTTTTTCTGGCATTATTTCTTCTCTGTTACTATTATGTACTAGCAGAAAATTCTTGCAAACTTATGCTACCCTAGATAACTCACTCACTTAATATATCTGAGCCCCTCTTGGGGCTGCCAGTTGTTCATCCACTCAAGAATTTCCCAACATTTTACTGTATTCAGAAAAGCCCTCCACTGCCCCTATTCTGAACCAGATTAGTCCAGTCCATACCACCCCATCCTATCTCTCTAAGATCCATTTAAATATTGTTTTCCCACCTACATCTAGGTCTTCCTAGTGATCACTTTCCTCCTGGCCTTCCCATCAAAAACCTGTATACACTCCCCTCTTATATGTGTTATATGCCCTGCATATCTCATCCTCCTTAATTTTGTCATTCTAATTATACTTGGGGAAGGAGGACAAGTAATGAAGTTCCTCATAATGCAGCTTTCTCCAACCTCCTGTCACTTTTTTCCTCTTCAGTCCAAATATCTAGCCTAGGTATCACTTTGAAAATTGAAATGAAAAGTGTTACTTCCTTAGTTTACTTCTATTGTATGTACTGGCAAGAGAAGCAGTCAGATAGTGCATAATGTTCCACCTCCAACCAGCCCAGAACAGGTGTTATTAGCCAGTTCCTTCAGGCTTACAATACCCATTTGTGATTGTAGATGCAATTAGAAGGAATATAAGACATGCCAAGGTATCATGTTATCCAAATGAGGAATATTAACATGCTTCAGTGGTTGTATGGTCACAGAACATAGGTTTCCCCTATCTCTGGATTTGGTTAACACTTCTAAATGTCATGCTCTGCCACTGCTATTGTTTCGAAAACCAATTACTCCTAAAATCTTGTGATTATTCTCTGTTGAACTAGACAAATGCTGATTGACCACTCATGTCCTTCTGTTTCACCCCAATTCAGATTCTGTCTGTACAACCAATTGTTGACACCGATTTACAAACTTTTATTTCAGGAGCTGTCCTGGTAGTGTTGCTAGTACATTGGAAGCGAACAAATACAAGTTGCTGATGCGGATACCTCTGGATGATCTGGAAATAGTCAAGGGTATGAGTGATTCCTTTTTCAGATGTGTGATAACCTTAATTTGTATCACAGCCAGATCTCAGATTTGGAAACTTTTGGTTTCACAAGTATTAGAAACATAGTGCATTCTGAGGTTCTGAAGGATTAAGCATTGTAGGGTTTCTTATTAACATAAATAGTCTTATATGTATTCATAACATGTCACAATACAAATGTAACATGACAAGTTTAAGTATTGTCGCGTATTGGGTGTATATCGCGACAAATAACTTCACGCCGTATTTTATATAGCGAATTTTATTTCACATTCGCACTTACAGTCACCCAAATTACAGATTTAAGATTATTGCTATCTGCAGTATCACAACTAGTACACTCCAAATGCCAGAATACAACTGACTAGTTGCTGGCTAACTCGGAACTAACTCAGCGGTAGCTCCAGGACTGACTCGGCGGTAGCTCCAGGACTAACTGACTCACTGACTCTGAATAGCCTTCGCTGCTCCTTATGTAGCCTCGGTCGGACAATACAGAAAACGGCCACGTAATAAGCACCCTTGTTGCCTGGCGCTGTGTTGCTAGCAACGCTAGTGGTAGTAACCACTGTTACCACCGTCGTCTCTCGCACTCATGTTTACCCGTGCTGCCCTTGGTGATGTCATCACTGTTGACTCGCGTTGCCTAGTGACCAGGATGTTAGGACTCTGCTAACATCGGCTCGCTTGGCGCATCACGGCTGGCGAGAGTGGGGGAGGGGCGTCATCCATAGCTCAACATGTCACAGTATTTACTCAGTCATTATCACAGTACCAAAATCCTTTTTTGTACTCACTGAATCATTATTCTTCCTAAGAATAAAGTTTAATGGTAGTTCTGTCATTTTACCAGATTGGAGTTGTACAGGCACTGTGGTATATTGTCAATGACAGGAAGTTTCAACAGTTAGGAACTGGGGTAGCTTTCAGTAGCATGATCTCCACATTGAGTTTATGAAAATTAGTAGTATATATAATATTTATATCATAGCTAAATGAAGCGATGAACAAGCAGATGCACACTTGTACAATTTCTCCATATTAATAATTAAAGGAAATCTAAAGAATATTGCAAAAGTATTATTGATGCCATTCTTTGTGAACTTACCAGAGAGCTATTCTCTGGTAAGTTCACATTTTTTTTTATAAAGATTAAGAACTGTTATACCAAAATCTGTGTAAATATTACCATTCATGGCATTTGATATTCTCAGTGTGGTAAATGGTAAGATTACATTCTTCTGGGGTATGACACCATGGAGTCTGGTAGATAATAATCATGTGATGTCACATCCCAGAATTCCATGATCTTAATTACTGTTCATGTTAATTAGTGGTTGCAGCATGAAAATGTCATTTTTAGTGTTGTATAGGTAATGTTAAGAAATCATTGTTTTTTTACTGTGTTAAAATAATTATAATTGCTTCCATATGTATACAGTCTGACATTATACAAAGCAGAATTACTACTGACTGATGCTCTTTCAGCCAAGGATGAGAACTTGCGTCGAATGCTGAATGAGATGGAAAACCTTGCTGAGGATGTGGCAACACTGAATCAGATCAATGATCTCACTGTATCTCTACATTGTCCACGTGGTCAGCTGGAGGAAGTAGTTCGAGAAATGCTTTCATCTGTCAATAAACAGCTTGCAGAGCGGCAGACAAGTGACTCGCAGCTCTCATATCTTGAGCTGACACTGAATACACAGTGAGTCACACTGCAGGCTACTTCTATAGCTATAAGAGCATGAAACACTGAAACTGAATAATTAGCTATTTCTATGCAAAGACATTCAGCAGAAAGACTTTTTCTGTTTTGTGTTTTCATAATACAGCCGTATTATTTTATGGTGTCCTTTGGCCTGTACAAACGATGAGGTATGATAAGATTAATGGGTGAAGGCAAAATTATGAGAACAGATACTGTAATGGAAGGAGAGGGAATGACCCCTTTGGATATGTTAAGAAAGATTAATCATAAATTGCTATGATATTTGTTGATTTAGTATTGTACAGGGATTTACTTTCACACCAGAAAACTTTATGACTGACTTCTAACTTTTTTGTTTGGCTGTACATATTTTTATCTTGAACTTTACTAATATGGACCAGTGTTTCTCAAACTGTGGTCCATGGTGGTCCACCAGATGGTCTGTAGGTCATTTGAAGGGAAAAGCAATCAGACAATTTTTATCTTGTATCACAAATTTGAAATGTAAAGTTAACTATGATTGTCAGAACTTTAACTATAATTTTTCTTCTGTTTGCAAAAAAAAAAAAAAAAAATGCACGCTATTTATGGCTAAGGGGAATTTTGTGGTAGCTGAGTAGTCCATATGTGTGGCAGCCGCCTATATTGTGGTTCACAGTTGTTGAAAAATTGAGAAACACTAATATAGGCAACATCAAATGGCTGTTTAACTGATAAGACACAAAACCAGGCAGCTGTTACAAGTAGTGAATTGTTATGGGACCTGAAATATGTCAGTGATTGCAGGTTAGGTTACTCTTACAAGATTACCCATTTTTACATAAGTCAGTTTCACAATGAAACTGATAAAGATGGCTGTATTAACTTTGATAGATTCACAGTATTATGTAAGGATCCAGACAGACTTGTTAGAACCAATCTATCCCAAGAAAGGACGTAAACAAAGCAATGTGTTAGCCTATCTTAATTAATGTTGCATTATAAGGCGTTGTTTGAGAAGCAGGAATTCAAACAACTTGAACAATTTTTTATAAACCTATATATACGTAGGTCAGTCAAAAAGTTCCCGGAATTCCCCTGCAGATGGAGAATGAGCAATAAGATAGCCCACACACTGTTGTGGTGGGAAGCTCAGCATCTCTGCTTGCAGGCGCAACAGGTCTGGACAGGTTTCAGTGTGCAGTGTCGTTACTGTTCCGTTTGAATTAGACGTGAGTGTTGGTCATTTGGCGCAGTGTCGCAGTTCAAACAGCATGTGAACATCAAGTTCATGTGCAAATTGGGAAAATCTGCTTCAGAGATGCTATTGGCCCTGCAGCAAGTTTACGGTGATACTGCACTAAAGAAATCCGCAGTTTACAACTCATTTTCCCAGTTTAAGAATGGGCACGAGATGTTAGGGGATGACCAGCGCAGCGGGAGACCTTCGACATCCAGAACTGAAGAAATGATTGGAAAGTGCTACAACTGATTTGATGTGATCGAAGAATGACCATCGCAGAGTTGGAGCAAGAAGTTGGTACTGTTACTGGCCATTTCTATGTGCAAGTTTTGCAGAGGTTTCACGATGCTGTTCAGAGGAAGCGGCGTGACAAGTGGCAGGAACAGTGGTTTCTGCATCACGATAACACACCAAGCCACACATCGCTTGTTGTGCAACAATTCCTTGCCAAGAAAAACATTCCTGTCATCACGCAACCACCGTACTCTCCAGGTCTCGCTCCGAGTGACTTTCGGCTGTTCCCTACTCTGAAAATGGGCCTCAAGGGGACACGTTTCCCAACCATGGAGGACATCAAATCGAATGGGACGGCTGAGCTCTGGAAGATTCCAAAAGAAGCGTTCCACCGCTGCTTCCAACAGTGGCAGGATCGATGGAGCAAGTGGGTGTGTGCGCAAGGGTCCTACTTTGAATGTGATTAGGTAAGCGTTGCTGTGTGTCCTACCATTAGAGTGCTGTACCACCATTCTGGGAACTTTTTGACCGACCCTCGTATATTAGTTTATGTGAATGATGTTGATATGATTGGTAAAGTTTCCTGGCAAAGAAGGAGGCACTTATATCCCAAGAGGAAGCAGGTAAAAGAATTAGACTATTTATTAATGAAAAGGAAGCAAAATATATTCTTACTTGCAAAACTAACCCTATCACCTATCCTAGTATTGAAATTGGTGATTGCCTTTATGGCAGAGTTCAATATTTTATGTGTCTGCAAACCCACCCAGCCTCTAGTCCACTAACACTGAGTCTGCTTTTCCTGGGATAAAGTGGCCAGAGCATGAACATAGTAACCCACATCTACTGCAAAAGTTAAAAACTCATAGAATTGTACTTTCACTGTTCCATGTAGTTTCATTGCATGATGCATAATTAAGCACGGAGACAACTTGACCTATTACATTATTTCATTTACATTTTCAGAAATGGAATTGAGAACTTATCAGTAGTATTCACAAAACCAGATAAGAGAACAAGTTGGGAGGAGTCGTCCAATGAAACCAAACAGAAGCTGGGTGAGTATGCTATGGACCTGTGTTCTTCTCAGATAAAATAACACTTCTTTTTACCCAATAATTTTATGTCTACGTGATTTTAAAGGGAGCTTAATTAGTTCTTTTCTGATTTGTTTGTGTTCATTGCATGAAATGAACCCACCAATTTACTTGAAGCTGAAATTGATATGTATAAAGTTTCTTAAAACCAAGTCATTGTGCAATATATATGTATATATCCTGAAAATTTTTTTCAGTATGAGAAATATATATGACTGCTGTGTAGTACTTCCATTTCTGATTATATCTGTTGATAGTAATTCACCTTTACAAATACTAGCATTAGGACCGACAAGGAACACACTACTATGATGATTGAATTTTAGAAACATGTACAGTATATCCACATTTGGGCACCCTGTCCACTAGCATGAAACACGTGACTGTTTTCAGTTAGATCACACTCACTGAGCATAATTTAATAACACAAGAGACCACCAATGAGTTAGACAGCCTTCTTGGCTTTAAGCATTACAGACAGAATTTTGTTTCTGAGTATTCTCAGGCATGATGGTAAATGTGTTACTGGTTTCAGCCCTCTCTGCAGACAGGCGTCCATCTCCCGAATTCCTGTCTCCGCTGCCCATCCGTAAGACTCGGGCTGGCCTGCAGTTCACCTGTGCAGCTCCAACCCTTGGCCTCAACGCTTACAATATGCGTGATGTTTGGGTGTGCAACAGTGATGGCTATGTCGGCCAGGTGTGCGTGCTAAGCTTGCAACCTGAACCAACTGTCATCTCCTGCAATGGGGTCTGCAATGCTCGTATTCTTTGCATAGCCTCCATTCCTGCAGGGAGAATGGGGTGAGGCTATTGGCATGATAGTTATGTTAGATCAGTAGTCTTTAGACATCATCACTCCATTAACACCCTCAAGTGGTATTATCTGGCAGTATGCATTGATACAGCATACTGGCATCATTTTTTGTAAACCAAAAAGTAAAGATGTGTTACTAAAATGATGGGCCTATGTCCCTCATTTTAGTAGAAGACATAGAAGTGGATGGCATGACCACTTTTTAAACTTCTGAACATCAGAACAGGCTTGTAGCACCCAATTTATGATAACATAAAACATATCACTCCCCTTATGTGATGCCTGAGTGCCAGCATATTTCAGTCTAGAAAATAAGTATTGCATGAATGCCCATCTAAAGTCTTATAATTTTTCAAAGAGTTCCCCTAATATGTGTGTGTATGTATGTCTCTCACTTGTCTTTCCAGCCATCTTTTTGACATGCTCTGTCAGCTGTTGACTGAATCTATACATGGTGTTTCACAAAATGTTTCCCTGTGCAGTTCTTGTAATTGTCAGCTGAATCATGTAACTGGAACAGGCTACAAAGTAAATTGAGCAGCATCATATGTTTAGTTCCAGAATATACTTTTCAAGCAAAACAGAGAAGTGTTTAGTATTAAAGCAAGTGGCACATATAGTAATTACAGTGCTTCATAAGGTAACTGCATTAAATGAAAGTTTTTAACTTGCTTGCAGGCCAAGTTCCAGTTGCAGCATAGGACAGCCATTCACCTACAGCAAAGCAGGAATCAGTATTTCTATAGAGGACACCGATGAGAGTGGAGGAAACACAGTTCAGCTTGACAGGTACAGAGTAATGAAAACTGTATTTTAGGTTCAGCAAATGAACATTTTACACATATTTCTAACTTGCACACATATTTTGTCTCCATGATGGTAATTGTGTATGATATGTGGTATTAAAAGAACATAAAGAGAAAACTGAAATTAATGGCCATCGGAATTCGTTGCTCTGACCGCATGACACCCTCTATCCGCTAAAGTTGGCACTAACTTCGCCAACAAGCAGTGGTCCCTCGGTCAGTATAGTTCGCTTGTAGACTGAAACCACAGAGTTTGGTTTTTTTTTGTGTGTGTAAAGAGGAAACCAATTTAAATGTTCCTTGAATTAAAGTTTTTCCCTCATTTAATATTCAATTTCAATGTTATCAAGTCATTAGTCTTCATGTCAAATGAGTTCCATTTAAAGTTTTCTTCACCTTAGTGTTCACATCTACTGGTCCCAAAAGAAACCTTAAATAGGAGTTACCCATATTACTGACTTTTTTTTTCTTGAGAGCAAGAGCAGAATGACTTCAGAGAGTCCTTGTTATTAATACCAAATGCTGCCTTCATCTCCTTTTGAAAACACCAGAGTTAAAACTGTATAAAGTTCATGTTTTGTTTTTTGTCTTTGTGAAATATGATTTCTTGTACTGATGTGAAACATCAAGTGAATAAGATGTACACAAATTGATTCGTAGTTTAAGATTGTGGTCTTTTAATATGACACCATCTAGCGTCGTAGTTCGATAGATGGTTACCATCTCTCTTACAGAAAACAGACTGCATTTTCATTACAAAGCCCAACCAGTTGATGCTGTTTATTCAGAGACACAGTTTTTTTAGTATTAAAGACCGTGGTGCATATAGTAACCACTGTAATTTAAAGGGTTGGATAGAAACATGGCTTTAGGTTGTGGATTGGATTTAGTTGTGAGATCTGAGATTCTCATAATGATGAATATCAAGATTAAGGTCTTTTGAGTTTTAAGGCCATGTAGTTTGGTATTTGGGTACTACAATTTCAGAGGCACCCATCTCCTCCATCTTCAGGATAGAACCCTTTGACATTGATGATGGAGACAGCATATTCCTTAAAAATATTAGTACCTGTATACCATACTCCATCGTCACATCCCGGAAGACAATAATCTTAATTTATAATTAATTTGAGTTACATATATTCTTGATAACAAGGCCACTGTGAAGTTTTTTAATTAGAAGTGATTTTTGGCCACTCATTTGTCTTTATTTTTCAAGTAGAATCATTTTAATCTGTAGAAATAGTTGCATACATGTATTTTCATAGTATCCCCTCTAATGGTAAAATTATTCCTAGTGTTGTATTTAGCGTCCTGTTGCACTGATTCTNTCCATTTACACTAATCTATTGCATTGCATGCCATTATGTCAATGTAAAATTATTTAAAAAGTATAATGACATAATGGCATGCAATGCAATAGATTAGTGTAAATGGAGCACCTGATGATGGCACTATGGTACCGCAACATGTTGTGAAGTGACAGGTGAAAGTGGATGCACTGCAAGACAGACAATGTATATATATCATATTTGTAGTGATTTGTTGTTTCTTATTCATTTTAACCTCTCTACCTTCTTTTCAGGAATCTTCACTTCTTTATTTCTCAAATTAGAAATATTGCAGTTTTTATGTAGTGAGAAAATAAGATTTTGTACCACCTCGAAGACTATTGAGACTGAATACATATAAGGCAGTAGCACATGCATAGTGTGGTCTTTGCATTTCCAGTAGTTCCTCCAGTGATGATGAGGATGAAGGTGAGGAAGGGACGCCTGGAACAGGAATCAGCATTGGGGTTCAAGAGGACCTGAAGCGGATACGAAGTGCGTCGGATTCACTAGTATGTGAGACATCCATTGTGACTGAAGACACAGACAGTTTGCAGCCCACAATGTGGCTTGGAACAGAGGATGGCTGTATCCATGTGTATAATTGCAGTGACAACATTCGCATTAAGAAGAACAAGGTGAAAATACAGCATGGATCATCTGTTCACAGTATCATGTGAGTACATTCAAAACAGCTGTACAGTACATTTTGATAATATTTATTATAGTCTTGTCAACACAACAATATTTCCAGCAGATGGGGTATGTGACTAGGATGACTAGGATTTCATCACATGAATGCCATCTTTAGATTCGGGTTTTAGTTACAATATTCTGTCATGTACTTAGTGACTTGCTAGTGATTTACACAACAGGATGCAACAAAATAGGAATGCAGTATCTAGTCCAGGGACATATTTCCTCTGACAGGATATCTGAGTTATCAGAGTTTCTGTATTCACTTGGTTAGTAGAATTACAGAGCTTGATGTTGTGCATCTGAAATATCCTTACAGGCATGTCATACTTTGAGTAGGTAACTTCCAGAAGAGAAGTCCCATGCTTTCAACAAGATCTCCAGTATGGCAATTTTGGTTCGAGTCTTTTATTGAAAGTATAGTGCAGTACCTTTCTAATGATGATGTAACTGTCTGTATCACTGTCTGGTGGTGATGCACACACAGAGTTGCCTTAGACACAACGGAACACAAAATTTGTAGTCAGACAATAGAGATTTACAAGAATCTGTAATAAACTGCTAAAATATCGTGTGGCTTGAGGCTTTTGAACATGGGTGGCCATGCTGCATCAGAAATTTCCATTCATCTTATGATAAAAATAATAGATTTTGCTTCTTCTTAGCTTGTTTTTCAGTTGTATGTTACAGAGCTGAGAATCATGGAAATCCAATTGGCCCAAACTTTATTATCACCCTTTGTCTAATTTTGGATAACTTGAGAAAATTTTACAATGAAGAGCTTTATAATTTGTACTATTCATGAAATATTATTATGGTGACAAAATAAGGGAGTGTGAGATGGGTAGGGCATGTAGCTTGCATGGGAGAGATGAGAAATTTATACATAATTTTAGATGGGAAACTTGAAGGGAGGAGACTAAGTTGGGACACCTAGATCTATGACAGATGAAAAAAACGAATGTTAAGGCAAATGGGTGTGAGATTTGCACTGGATTCATTTGGCTCAGAACAGTGTCCAGTGGCAGACCATTGTGAATTTGGTAGTAAACTTTGACTACCATAAAAAAGAGGAATTTAACCCAGCTGCTATTCTTCTACATCTTCACAAACTACTGAATTTACCCCCACGATTTACACACCTTTTTATCGTACAAATCTCGTCTGAAGCTTATGATGTGTAAAATATGCCATAATTACTTCTTGTACAAGTAAAGTAAAGTAAAGTAAAGTAAAGTGAAGCTATCCCTGTACCAGGCTGTGAAGGCCCATAGGGTTGTGAGACGTTGAGGGTACCACATTATCTAGACAATCGGCTCAAAGATGGCGGTAAGGT